AAACGATATATTATATCAATTTTAGCATTTTTCGGATTTTTTAATGTATTTGCCTTACGGTCAATTTTAAGTATCGCTATAGTAGATATGACAACATTAAAAAATGTTACATGGAGAATCAAACTGTTGTTGAAGTAAGTACATATTTTCTGAATTTTTGTAAATTTTTTATAAAATATTGTTTATATTTACTTTGTTAACTAAAACCTGAAGTTGCAAAATAGAACGATGACGCCATACTTGTATAAGACACTAGGTATAGGTGGAGATATGTATTAAACCTTGAATATTTGTTAATGGACACAAATAGAGTCTGTCTTAAAACGGACGTATGCATTAGATACAGGGTTAAGAATAAGGAGTATATAAATACTTGTATTTCACCTGAATTGTTAAAGTAAACTACTGTAAATAATAAGATGAATAATGTGAATTTTTCTAAACTGGAGATGGTAGATATGATTTATACAGGATATTTTCTAATTGAATGTTAATATTTAAGGATGTTATTTTTAGGTCCATTTTAAGAAAAAAACTTCACATCAACGTATGTCCTAAAAGTATTAACTTGTAAGATACAGGGTGGCTAAAGTTTTTAAAAATAAATATTTTTTATTAATATCTGCTATACCACTCTGGATATTTTAATGAAATTTGGTATATATAAATACAATTCATCAATAAGAGGCATTTTTTGATGGGCCACATTTTTTTATTTCCTCCAGTGGCGTTCATGCGGAATCTGACCTGCATAATTTGGTAGACATTGATGGTACGCTACTGATTTATCTTAATATAACAATTATTTTTTAAATCCCATTCTCTTCCAAGCAAATTTGGTTACCTGATTTTTTTTAGTTCGATGCACAGTTTTCACTTAAAAAAACGAAAACCGTTTTTCATGGTGATATTGACAGTATTAACGATACTGTTATGACCATGCAGAGAAATGGTTTTCGTTTTTTAGTTGGTTGGTTGGTTGGTTGGTTGGTTGGTTGGTTGGTTGGTTGTTGGTTGGTTGGTTGGTTGGTTGGTTGGTTGGTTGGTTGGTTGGTTGGTTGGTTGGTTGGTTGGTTGGTTGGTTGGTTGGTTGGTTGGTGGTTGGTTGGTTTGGTTGGTTGGTTGGTTGGTTGTTGGTTGGTCACTTTTTTTTCGGAATGCTTTGGAAAGTATTGTGGTAAATTTCCCGAGGATAAACTCACTTCCGCATGCTCTTTTTATCCGACATTTGACAAAGAACGACTGTGAACTGAACTGTCTACTCTACTAAAATTTTTAATATCAAAAATGAACAGAGAATTTAAAAAAATAAGAAACATTATTTTTCCCAGTGGCGTAAAAAGTAGGAGGAAAAATTACCATTAACCTTGATAGCGCGTCACTGGTAAAAAATTTTTAAAAGTAAGTTTATGTCAAAATATTACTTCATTAAAGAGCATATTGGTCACCAAATTTGAAATTAATATTTAAAGGCGTTTTTGATTTATAAAAAATTTTAAATTTTGAATTCTAAGTTTTCGGTAACTAAGCCTTCTAAGGGTCCATGTTCCTATATTAAATTTCACCAATTGACGAGAGATCTCTGGGATAGAGCGTTGTCGGTCGAATGTACAAATACCCTGTATATGATATTATTTACTATTAATTATATGTGCCTAATATATTAAATTTAACGAGCTGTCTTAATATTAATTTTGTTTTTCTTTAAGAAACGAGAGTTTGAATGGGATTCAACATTAAAAGGTTATGTTTTAAGTTCATTTTTCTATGGATATATTTTGTACACAAATTTTGGGTGGCTATTTGTCTGTAAAATTTGGAGGTGCTAAAGTTTACGGAGCTGGAATAGCCTCTACTGCGTTTTTCACCCTACTTACGCCCTGGGTTGCAAAAACAAATATTTACCTTTTAATAGCTCTAAGAACAGCAGAAGGAATTTTTGAGGTAATAGATACAATTTCTTCTAAGTATTCTGTATTAAAGAGGTTATTTTTTCAGGGGGTAAATTATCCATCAATATTAATGATTTGGGCAAATTGGGCACCTCCACTAGAAATATCTCGATTATCAACCATTGCCATGTCTGGTACTTATGTTGGAACTGTTGTAGCGATGCCAGTAAGCTCTATATTAGCAACAGCTTTTGGATGGGAAAGTATGTTTTTATGTCTTTGGTAAGAATTTATTCTATAAACCGTTACCCCTAAAAAGTGAGTATTTTTTATGCAACCAGAAATAATTATAGAAATATCGCCTAACAATGTAATTATAATGAAAACGCCTTCATTTTACATTACATTACAAACTATAACAATAATATTTAGGAAGTTCCTATAAAATCTGTACAGAATGGAAACAAAAATGTCTGAACCTAAAATATGAGAGTATAGTCCGTTGCAAGATAATCTAGAAAGCGCAATGTTCTGGCAACCTCTTGAATCGTTTACCAACTGATCAGAGCCGGCTTAGGTTGAGTGTTATTTGTTCAAATGTTAAAGATCATTTTTAAATTTTGATTTCTACAAAGATCCTTTTGCGGTCTAAAGTGCATTGAAAAAAAATATAACATTCATTTCAAAAATACTTTATTTACAATATGTACATAGGATTTTTAATGACATTTAAAATACATAAAAAATCTTACACGCTGAGAACTTGTATTAATAAAAAAAAAATAATAACACAGGTTTCATTTCCAAACACATGTTCAACAAAAAAATATATTGAAAATTGAAACTGACTAAAATTATTAAGTAGGTATTTTTTTTTTGTTTAATTTGATGTCATTGGCGTCGACTACTACGGTCATTAGACTCGTGTTCTATGTAGGCTTTGTCCCTGTTTCCCAGCGCCACTTTAGGAACAGCACTATTAATTAGAAGCCAACAGTGAATGGTCGAGTGGGGAATCCTACCAAGGCATCAGAATTAATTTTAAATAATTAAATTAAATGAAAAAATCCCGGACAACGGTGGGATTCGATCCTGAGACCTTCCGATCTCAAAGTCATGACTCTAACCACTGAGCCAACCCACCCCCCATTAAGTAGGTATTAATTTAAAAAATATATGTTTCACTAGATATTTCTCTTCGATTTTTTAACATGTTGAATGGCGTTTTTCCAGTATACAGTTTAATGCATTTATTACTACATCAATTACAGAAGAAGTGGACTTAGGAGAAGAGTTATTTGCTCGAGAATAATTTTTTAATTGTGACCATAATAATTCATGGGGTTTAAAATACAGTAGTAGGGTGGTAAACGTAAAACTTAAATCCGTGTTGTATTGCTATGGTGTCGATAACAGATTCAGGTTGAAAATCAACCAAGTGTAAAAGTTATTAACTGTTTATTGTGTAGTTTTCTTCAAAAAAATATATCATTCTCCATCAGAAAGTCCTGAATCACTGATTTCGTAGGATTGGTATTTGGTTTTCTTCGTACCAACCGAGAATGCTACGGGGCATTATCTAAAACCATTTTTCAAAAAGAGTACTTTCTATGTCCTGGTGATAGTCTCGTACATCCTTGCAGACAGCAAGAAAGCTCCTTCTACCCAACCTGATTCTCCACCACAATGTAAAATGCATATTCTTTTTCCTCGAGATGGAGGAATGTCTGCATTACATTTTTAAACTTCCATCAGCCCAACATTTTTTTATGATGTCTTGAGTGTCGAACCACGTTTCATCTAAAAAAATTATGTTTCTACCCTCTCGTCGATACTTTGTAATTTAATCGAGATATTCTATTCTCAATTTAACTAAACGGGTGGATTCCATAATTGTTTGTCTTTTATTAATGGTTTTAAATATAAAGCCGTTGGATTTTAAAAATCTCTCTAATGTCGTTTATGACAGTCTTCTGTTAACCTTTTTTTGTTTTAGACGTGAACATATTCAAAGTAGAAAAATTATTTACAGAGAACATTTCATAAATTGTTTCCCTAATAGGTTCTAAAAGAAACTGTGGAATGGAACGAGATGAACCAGAATCTTGTCGCACCTTTCTAGGTGGTGCCCCCTTCCTGTAAAATTTTGTATATAGTTGGCTGTGTCTCTTTTAGGGCTTCGGAGGAAGACCTGTAAATAAGACTCAGTTTTAAAATCTAATATATTTAGAAAATTGGCATTTTTATAGATTTTGACGTGTTGTTTTCGATTTTCCACCTGGTGGCCTCGCATTTTTACTACTAAGTATATCTCATCCAAATTGAACAATTGTTTATGATTAAAAACTGTAATAAAAAGGTAAAGATTTCAGTATTTTAATTTTCTGAATTTGTTTTAGTAAAAAATTAAAACAATTTTCACTTTTCACTAAAATACTGCGTTTTAAGTAATTTTTTCATGAATAATTTGAATAAATCGCATTTAAAATTGCGAAAATTTGGTAATAGTAAATATCATGACCATGGGCGTCGTTTGGGGGGGGCAAGGGGGGGCAAGGGGGAGCAGTTGCCCCCCCCCCCCCCCCCCCCCCCCCCCCCCCGACTGTTACGACTATACAACGCGTAATGGCTGTATGTCACAATACTAAATTAAGTACTAAAATTAGCCCTAAATCAAGTTATTAATTTAGTACTAAATTTAGAATTAAAAATATTTTTTTCCTTTTGCAACGATACCAATTTTTAGTACTAAATTAAGTATGGGCGCACGCGCATTGACGTAATTATTACGTAAAATTAGCACAGAAATAAAATAATCTTTGTAAATAAGAGAAGAAAATTAAAAGATGTATTTATTATGACTTTGACACTAATTGACTTGACAATAACTAAATGCAGCAATGCTACTAAAAACCACGAAAAAACACAATAAAACCTACAAAATCAAACACAAGCGAAATTTGTCCAATTTGTCAACAGTTGCTGTGTTGTAAATTGTAAAAATACTAGTAGAAAAACAGTGTAAATTATACAGGGTGTTAAAAAAAGTGTCACAAAATAAAACGGGGGGGTAGTATGGGCCAAAATATGCAGAAAAGTCTTAATAAACATATGTCCGCAAATGAATGGTTTCAGAGATACGGAGTGTTTTGTGTTTTGTATCATTTTTTTATTATCTTTTTTTCATTCTCAAAAACTTGCTATTCTTATCGGAGTCTACCGATGTTTTTTCATAGATACTTTTTGCAGTTATTATTTTGTTGTGGGTGAATATTTTTATAAATGTTCGTTATGCCTGTTTACACTAATATTGAATTAGCTGACATGCATTTTATGTATGGTCGTGCAAATGGCAATGCATTGAAATGGAGAGAGGTCACTTTGAACATCTCATTTAACTCTATGTTGTTATTGATTGTTTATAAATATCATTGTTTTTTTATAATAATAAAAAATTATTATAAACACAAATGGTCCGTATCTCCGAAACCGTTAATTTGCGGTCATATATTTATTAAGACTTTTCTGCTTATTTTGGGGTCATACTATTCACCATTTTATTTTGTGACACTTTTTTTTTAACACCCTGTATAAATTTTTAGTAGCAAAATGAAAATTAAATCAAAGAAATAAATGGATAGCTGTACAATAAAAAGAAAAAACCTTTATTTTTGTAATAATAACACTAATACTGGAAATAGTAGACATCAGAAAATTGAAAGGTTTTAAATAAACAATAAATTATTATTTTACAATGTTGTTCAACAACTCTTAAATGTTGAGCAAGGATTAGATTTCTGCTTTGATTATTGTATGTGGCTGAAATGCAATCTTGTGACTTATTGATAGGAAACCAATTTTATTAATTAATTTCTATGGACTCTTTCGAACTAAAATAAAGAAAATATGAATTACAATCGCAAATTTACCAATTATTTTTGTTAATACGTTTTGAGACTACGTTATTATATAATGGTAATGTTTTTGTTTTCACATTATTTAACCTTTTCTTCAATATTAGGCTTAGGCAACATATACATTTTCTGGTAAATATATAATCTTATAATAATCATTCTCTCCCTAATTCATCCCCTTATGAGTGAATTTTAACTCCAAAAGCTGAGCTTGTGCGGGGAAAAATATTATTATTATTTGCTGTGGCGCTCCGGGGCGACTTAAAGATAATTAATGGTGACATTTGACTTACAGGTGAGGAAAACCCGGAAAACCCCACCTACCATCATCGAAAACGGTAATGCATGGTGATTTTATTTTAATAATAATCTGGATGTCATATCAACAGAAATTAAATTTCTGCTAATATGGCATCCATCAAATCCTATAGAGAACCATGCAAATAAATTAACATGGTCTTCCGTGTGATCTTAAACCGTGTCTCGTTTTACCAGAAAATTGGCTGACAAATGAATGCCGCGCCGTAGACACCTGCACCACCGTAGCCTGCCTATGTTTTATTATTGATTATACTACTTTTATTTTAGCTGAAGTACCTAATAAAAATATATAATAATTAATTTTTTCACTTGTTTTACAAATCTATATACTTTTATTAAAATCAACATATATATTTTTTAATTCCATTAAAAATTGTATTGTCAGTATACGCAAATATCGTCCGTTAGTTCATAAATTTATTGGCGCTGCTGTCACGCACAGAGCGAATAATGAATGAACATAGGCTGACTGCGCTTTGCATGATGAACGTACATCCAAAAATAATCGCAAAAAACTAAAAAGAAATCATGTTTTCTGTTATCGATTATTTTAGGTAGAGGAAGAAGAAATTAAAAATTAACGAACACTAGGTCGACGTGTTTTTTTTTGTTTTTGTGTTTCTATAAATATTTTATTTTTTTTATATATTATGTATGGCTCTGTCTCCTTGTTCATATTTTTCTTTTATCTCACACCTTCTATATTTTTTTTAGAAATATGTGTTTTAAGTTTTTTGTTTTTTTTTAATTTTAGTTTTTGTCTTTTTTGTTGGGTTATTTTATTTATTAAAAACTTTTATTAATTTGTATTGCTCTTTTAGTTTTCAATTTCTCTGTTTTTCAACTAATAAACATTCTAAATTTTTTCAAAATTTTGCCCCCCCCTATAGAATTGTGTAACGACGCCCATGATCATGACATGTACTTTACTATTACAAAATTTTCGCATTCTCCTTAGCTTCATCTTTACGAAAAATGAAAAAAAATATATTTTTTTTTTGCAAAAGCGACTTGAAATTAAAATAAATCAAAAAATATTAAGTAATGAAAGTTGTTTTAAATATAATTTTAAGGGCACATGCAAATTTTGAATGCGATTAAATAAAAAATAGGAAATTTATTTTATCAAATTATTAAAAAAAATACTACTTAAAACGCAGTTTTTAGTCAAAATTCTTTTAATTTGTACTAAATCAAGTTGTGGAAATCTTCACTTTTTATTACAGTTTTAAATCATAACCAATTATTGTTCAATGCCGCGGTACTGTGGGTCGCACCTGGGGTTTCTTCCCCAGAGTCGTCGCATGGACTTACACGGCTATCATAAGACCTATGATAACATACGGTGCAGTTGTTTGGGTACCGAAAACCCAAAAATTAACAGCTATCCGTAAACTAGAACAAATTCAAAGAACAGCATGTCTCAACATAACAGGAGCCATGAAAACAACACCGACTAGAGCGATGGAAGTCATTCTTAGTCTCACTCCCCTTGATATTTACATCAAGGAGGTTGCTCTGATGACAATGACACGCCTTCGTACGGTTGGAATAGAACCTGATGTAGGATCTGGTGAGGCGAGACGTCACTTTTGGCAGGAGGCACTCGATACGCTCCCACTGCTTCAAGCGAACATGGACTCAATCTCACCGATATATATCTTCCATAAGCCATATAAAGTTATAATAGAACAAATCGTCGTTGATACTGCAATAGGGCCTATGTAAAAAAAAAATGCAATTTGGGGTTAAGATGCCAAAGTATCCAATAAAAGCCAGACTATTACTCTGCAAAACATCGTATGTAAATACCCAATAGAAATTCCAGTTTCTTCGTCGTAGCAAGGTGGCCTATGTTATACGGGTTTTACATTGGCTACCCCAAACAAGCGTATGTGAACATATTTGATAGGTTGGTAACACGTAAGTCGTATACTGGTTATTTCAATTAGCCGTATGTGAAGTGCGATGTGTTTTTATGCTGAAATTAGTTGGAAAATGTGCTGATTTGTTTGTTACTATCACATAGAATTGGTAAGTTAAAAATAATTTATAGTTATTAACGTAAAAAATGGTCAATATCAAAACATTTACATGATTTACCTTCTCAAACATGTGTTTGTAAATTTTCTAACCTATAAATAGTTTTATTTTCTTGAAGGACTTATTCTTACCGGCATTACGATGCAATTCTAGTAGGCATGGATAGAATTAGCACTCTAATGCTTCACTTTAATGTTTTTTTTTTTCAATAAAGTTGAACTGTCACCTCCTGTTTATCGAAATAACAATCACATACGACATATTGCGGTTCTTATTTAATAAAATAATAACTACATACGACATATTGCAGCGTAAAGTTTAATTTTATTTTTCTTCTTTCAGCACAAAAAATGAGTAGCAGAGGTAGGCAGATGGTAGAGATGGTACTTGACCAGGCTTCTTCAACATCAAATCATGTGATCGCCAGAGATAGAGATGTTTATGACATTGCGAAAAACAATGTTAATGGTATGGAGTTAGAAAATAGTATTCATGTGGAATATCAGTCGGTCGATGCTTTGGAGAAAGTCGAACATGAATCAGTAGAAATTACTGAAAACGTATACGAACCATTTCAGGATTCTGGTTATGAATACATTCCATCTGAAGAAGAGAATAATAGTCGGAATAATATGTCAATAGTTGAAACTTCTGATGAAGAAGGTCGTAATCAGCAACTAGTAGATGAAGAGCACGGACTTGTTGAGGGAAGAAAAAGATCTAGAAAGAGCAAAGGGCAGGGAGATCCTGCTAATTGGAAGCGAGCCAAAAATTCTAGTGCCCGACTAAAGGGTGATGCTTACATTGGATTCAAGAGAGATGCATCTGGAAAATACAAACAAATAGTAGAAAAAGAAAAACGTAAACTCGGACAAAGATGTGATGGTCACACAAGAACTGCTTCAAGAGGACCAAGACAAAAATTTGAATGCACAGCCCTATCTGAGGAAGAACGGAAATCAATTTTCAATCACTTTTGGTCCTTGAATTCATGGGAAGCTAAAAAAGTTCTTGTATCAACTCTTGTATCATACACCAAACCAAAATGTAGACGTAAATCAACTTTACCTGAAGAATCACGTAAGCAGATAGGTTTCCAATATCATCTTATTACGGTGGGCGAAACGGAAAAGCTTAAGCGACTGGTCTGCAAAAAAATGTTTTTGGCAACTTTAGGAATTAAAGAAAAAACTGTTAGACTTTGGAGGCTTGAGAATGGTACCTGCAGTACAAAAGAGCAGAATAAAGAAGCCCCACCTCCAATGCAAGAATGCTCAAAAAACGTTCGCGAGTTTCTAGACAGTTTACCAAGGGTTGAGTCGCATTATTGCAGAGCCTCTTCCAAGAAACTTTATTTGGAACCAATATGGAATAGTTACAGACATCTATATCGGGAGCTTCTTCATAACTGTGAAGTCAACCAAAAACGATCGTGTTCTTGGAGAACATTTTTAAAAACATTTAGGTCTATGAACTTGGAAATACACACACCTAAAATGGATCAGTGTAATTCTTGTTTAATGTACAAAAATGTAAATCTGCGAACGTCAGTATACGAAAAGCACATTAAGAGAAAAGACGAAGCTCGTAAAGAAAAAACTAAAGACAAACAAAGTGCAGCTGAAAAAAACACATACGTTTACACTGTTGATCTTCAAGCTGTTTTAGTATGTCCACGCTTATTGGCATCGGCTATTTATTACAAGACGAAATTGAAAGTGCACAATCTAACTTTCTATAATATGAAGAATAAAGACGTTACTTGCTATCTATGGCACGAATCTAGCGGTGGCTTAGAAAGCGATGTATTTACATCTATTATGGTAAAGTTTCTCAAAAATGAAATACAAACGCACCAGCCTTCCCGTGTTGTTTTATGGAGTGATGGTTGCTGCTATCAAAATAGAAATACTAAGTTATCTAATGGTTTTCTGGAATTAGCTACTGCAGAAAATGTTACCATAGAGCAAAAATATTTAGAAGTCGGCCACACGCAGATGGAGGTTGACTCCATTCACAGTGCCATAGAGAGGAAACTACGCAAAGGGCGAGAAATTTGTGTCCCAGCTGACTACGTTCACATTATAAAGTCGGCCAGACAGAATCCCTCTCCTTATAAAGTGATTCAGCTTACATACCGTGATTTTGATAAGCGTCCTGAAGGACTTTATATAAGTTTACGCCCAGGATCTAAGAAGGGTGATCCGTGTGTTACAGACATTTGTGCTTTACAACATAAACCTGAGGGTATAAAAAATTATAAATTTAATTTCGATGAAACCTGGCAAGAAATTCCTAGGCGGCCAAAAAGAAACTCATCAAAGTCTGTACCACCTTATTCTCCTTTGTATAATGCACCGTGTCCTATTGAGTTGACTAAATTTATTCACCTCCAAGAGTTAAAATCTCTAATTTCAGATGACTACCATGAATTTTACAACAAGCTTAGTCATAACTGTGGATCTGACGAGTGCACTCATATTCGTGCTATAGCTAAGCCTAAAGAAGGTCCCTCTGTCATAGGGAATCAATCTGAAGATGGTGAAAGCTGTTCTCTATAATTATTTTGCCTTTTATAATTTCAAAGTCTAAGTTCCGTTAACTTCTAATGAGTAACTTTATATCAATGCTCTAGTTTAAACAATGTTAAGTTTGTTCTTTTAAGTAGCGCTTATCTATTTTACAATGTGTCAGCAATATGTCGTATGTGTCATAAGTAACCAATTTTGAATTGTAAAATGTCTTATGCGAATTTTTTTCCAAAAAGGTAATATATAGATTAAATCACAGTATCTCATTTTAAACTAAACCTAATCCATCAATTTTTAACACAATTTTGAATCATTTCCATCAATATTGCTCCCACACAGTGGTTTTTTCTCTTTCCTGAAAATTCAACATTTTTGACATAGGTCCTATTGCAGTATCAACGACGAAATATAAGAACCAGAAGTGGCAGGTACGATTCATATCTGCACCGACGGTTCTAAAACAAACCAAGGCTCAGGATGCGGAATATACTCCAGATTCTTAAACCTAAACATAAAATGGGCTGTGAGCAATAGTGCCAGTGTAGTTCAAACAGAGCTAACGGGGATTCTCATAGCAGCAAAAGAAATAACCAGCAATAATGGCCGTGTTCATCGTCGTCAAACATGTTGTAACGCTGAGTAAGCGGTGACGATGAACTGTCAACCGCTGCAGCGCTTTTGAAGAAGCATAAAAGCGAAAATAAACTCGCTTGTTTGCTTTAAAAGCATAACATTAACCTTGAACCCCTGTCAAATACGTCTTTTGGCATTTTGTTAGGTTATGTGTTTGTTTATTTATTTATATTTTTAAGGTTTTCCACCCTAATAGAGTTGATTAGTTAAGTTGTATTTTAATATAATATTGTATTTATGGAGGTACCTGTTTGAAGAAAATAAAATTAATTCCAGACGTAGATATATATACACATATGCTTAAATTATTTCATTTGGACGTTAATGGGATTCCACCAGTAAGGAATATGGATAATATAACATACCTACATATTATATAGTTTTAGCACAGTTATTCAAAACAGACAAGTTTTGTTATTAAAACTGCACGGATGTTTCTTGTTGGCATGTAATTAATGTATATAGCGCATTAAAAAATAAATAATAATAAAAGTATGACATTTTATTTACAAAATAAATTAAATATAAGTAATTATATTAAAAAGGACCCACCTTGGTTTGTTGAACCTATAAAAAAATACCTCATTACTGTATACATTTCAAATAATTTTTGCTAATAAGTCGCTCTACCTATATGACAACATTAAATTTGTATATTTTTTAATTTCCAATACAAAATATATCATTCCTATAAAACAATTACTGTATGTAGTTTGTCGACAAGGTATGTATAACTCTATAATACTAAACAAATTTTATTAATACATAAAAATAATTCAGACTCAATGAATATTAGCAATGACCAAAAATGTATAACACCTAAGTACCTACATAAAAAATACTTTGTAAAAAAATAAGTAAAGCATTAGATAGGGATTATTTTAACAATTCTCGGTTTTTGTAATAAAACTTTATCATTTCTTACCTCACAGCAAGAAGCCTGTAAATTTTAAAAGGCATAACAGCAATTTTTCATTATTTTTAATGTAGAATAACAACAGTAAGATTGTAGTAAAAGTAAAACAATAATATAATAAAAAAATGTATTAAAAATAAGTGAAATAACATAATTTTATGTTAATTTATTAAAAATTAGAAAAGCGAAATAAAACTTGTTAAGTGGGCTGATTTTCTATATTTTAGTTTTTAAATGGGAGTGGAACTGTTGACGTGACTTGTTTATGTTATGCTTGGCTTTCAATACTAATACCTGAAATTAGGTAAGTTTTTTCACTAGCCCATATTTATAAGAGATAACTCTTTTTTAATAGAATGCTTTGCATCATATCACCTTTTCTTTTAAAGCAGGACATTCTTGCGTTCTTTGGGGACAATGGTACACACAACTTGAAAGTGGGTTTGTCTTGCCTAAAGCGGGACTTATGATGTTCGGTATTATGACTCAAAAATAAAAGTTTACTTCAGGTTCATTTTCATGTTTATCTCTTCCTCCTTTTTCGATTCAGTTAGTTTTTAACTGGTTTGAGACACATGCCTCAAGTTCTGGGCTGGAGTCCAGTTTAAATGATTACTAACTTCGAAGGAACTCTGTTTCCCTAAAAATAAGAAAGTCATACTTGATGTCTCTATTATTATACACTTTTATGTATCCTTGGTATATCTAAAAAGATCACTTTTTGAGATGTATATTATTAGTATCATGAGTTCCTTTACTTTAATTTATTGGTGCAGACCAGACAGTTGATTAAACACAATACACAATAAATAGCATTCTCATTCTGCTCTTCAAAGTATGATCTAGTTACAGTATGTTTTTATTTGTGTGTCAAAAAAATGTATTTTACCTGTAATAAAATGACTATTACAATTTCTTTGATTAGTCTAAGTACAGAGAGAAGACATTAACTATGTCTTATCTCTGGTCTAAGTATGTAGAATTCAAGATCCATAGAGGCAATAAAAACATCATGACTTTACAACCCAAAATAATACAAGTTGTAGGTTTTTCGCGGTAAAATTGTCAAAACCACTTTCAGAAGGGTACTTATATAAACTCTAATTCACTGTACAAATCAATTAAACTCAAATTTTTTAAAAAAATACTAAAGTAAACAATTCACATAACCTTCTTTGTGCCAACCAAATGTCATTCCATTTTTTGACAGATTTGTGGTTGAGAAAACAAATCGTAAACAAAAATGATCGTTCAGCGTCATTCCAACCGCTTATGAAACATGTTTCTTTGCTTTTAAAACATGTTTGACGACGATGAACACGGCCAATATCACTGGAAGGAACATGCTCACCTATACAGATAGCAGACAAGCCCTACTCACCTATACAGATAGCAGACAAGCCCTACTCACCCTGAACAGACCACGAATTTATTCAGGGTTAGTACTAGAATGTCATGAAGCTTTGGCCGAAGTATCCATCAACAATGTGGTCACCTTAAGATGGATCAAAGGTCACGCCACATCGAAAGGTAACCGTCTTGCCGATTCACTAGCCAAGAAAGCAGCCAACCAAATACTTTTTGGACCTGGCCCTTCTATTGGCCTGACAAAATCGGTAGTGACAGACCTAATTAAAGAACATTCCCTTGTGAAATTCAAGGAAAGATGGGATGAAACAAGAAACTGCAGAGTTGCCAGGGAGCTCTTAAGTTATCCTGACAACACTGCAGCAAACAAATACTTGACTATAACTAAACAGAATTTGCGTCTAGTCACAGGCATTCTGACTGATCATTGTCAAGTACCAAAGAATCTCCATATCATGGGGCTGTCAGAATCCGCACTCTGCAGAGGGTGCGAACAAGAAGATGAGACCATCGAGCATATCCTTTACGATTGCTCGACGCTTTCATTTATTAGAAGATTTGTGTTCGGCGAGTATCGGCTAACACCGGCCCATATAAGAGAAGCACCTCTTGGCGCCGTTGTCAACTACATTAAATCGATAGGCTGGCTCACGAGCTAAGAGGTGCCTATCATCTCAGGAGGATGCACAATAGGCCTAATGAGGCCTAAGGGCCGTGGGGTAACCCACCCTCCACACGTTACAGATACAGAAGGAATGCCAATACCCTTTTTAATCAGGTATCCCTTGACCCCCTTCCCCTTTGAAAAAAGTTTGAGGATGACTTCTCTACTGAGGGGGTGGAAAGTTTTACTATGCTTTTTGCGTCAAAAGGTATTCCCTTGACAAACAAAATAGACGTGTTTTTGAATTTCACCGAAAAGTTCTTTTCCACCCTGTAATGCCTTGCGGTACGTTTTCGATGGGTCACCCTGTATATATTCATAAATAACAGAAATATACCTTTTTAAAAATGGGATATCACTAAATAAAACTACGTTTATGTTATGTTACACTTTACTTACATTCATAATAATTTAAATTAAACATATCATGTGTTTTATAAAACTAATCATTATTTTGACAATAATTTTGCCTATGGCTAAGTTCAATGTAACATATTAAATAATTATACTTATTTAGGTTGCATTTTAATGAGCTATTTACATAAATACTTCTACAATTCACTCATTTACTGTCGAAATCAATTAATTTTATTGATTTTTGATAGCCTTATCAAACAGAACCAAAAAAAACTGCTTATGTTTAGTGCTGATAACAAATATTAAAATTACTAGATACTAGAGAAATTTTTAACTTTTGTTTTATACATGGTGTTTTTTAAATATGCGGCAAAAATTCAATGGGTTGTTCCTTCGACTATTCTAAGAATATTTTGTTCTGTGATAATTTTTAAAATTCCGTTTCGTTTAGAGTTTAGGAGATACAACATTTTCGAGGAAACTATTTTTATTATTTTTAAAATTATTAATAGTCTAAATAAAAATAGATACTACACTGCGTTAACCAAGAACATATATATTTTTTAAAAATTTGTTATTTTTATTATTTTTTAACAACATTCCAATTACTAAAAACGGTTATATTTCCACTTAACAAAACTGATTTTCAAAAATCATCAGAGGACAAAATATTTTTAGAATAGTCCAAGAAACAACCCCTTGAATATTTGTCGCATGTTTAAAAAATTTAAAGTCCTTGTGACAAAAATATCTACCAAATACATATACCATTAAAGAATGAGCCAAACTTCAGATGTGGTTAGTTTGGACAAAAATAAGTTTATTTAAAAGCGCCTATCCATTTGCTAAAATTGACTTACAAGTAATTCCAAGATTCCAGGCCTATTTTTTATTATATTTTTATGAAATTTGGCATGCATTATTATGGAGTCGTGCATAATCGGACTACGGAGTCCAAATTTTGATATACAGAGTGGCCCAAAAGTCTGGAAACGGCCAATTATCTCGTAAATTGATAGTCCTAATTGTACAAAATTTGGGGTATACCTATTTTGGGATACGGAGATTCCAGATTTGACATTTGCAATGTTG